ATATATATAGGATGTTTTAGAAATAGTTGGCCAAATTTTAAGAGCATTCCACTCGTTGTAAGGAAAAAAAAGTCATATAAACATAGATTCGGAAACGCTTCCTTTCCAAGTTAAACATTTTTTTATTTTATACTTATACGTATATTTTATTTTATATAATACTATCTATATTTTATTTTATATTTATTTTATACATCTTTGAGCAAAGATTTGTTAATAGAGATATTGAGCTTCTCTGCAATTTTCATTAACTCATTTATACATGTAGTGAATATCTATCAATTTGATGTTAGAATAAGTTGCCATGTTGCCATTGATGAATACTAATTTCACTCTTAAATGCTTAAATAAAGACTGATTTCAGTTCCATACAAACCTATCTAATAACTCTTTGTTTACTTTAGAAGATGAATAAAAGTACAATCCATGAAACGTTGAAGCGAAGTTGCTGTCCGACGTAAATACGTACAATTTAAATAAGAAATTTTATAACTTGGAAAGGAAGCGTTTCCAAATCTATGTTTATGATTTTTTTTCATCCTTGCAATGAATGTGCAATGAAGGAATATGCTCTTAGAGCATGACCAACTATTTCTGAAACATCCCGTATATATATTGGGAGTACAAATTAGTTCGGTTTCCGTTTCCTTAAAGATTGCTCCAGCTGATTGTGAATGGTTCATAGTGACAGCTCATTTTGGCGGTTTCAGAGAGGTTAAACATCTAATAATATTCAATTTATATCGCTTTGAGTTTCATACAAAAATCTTGATTTTTACTGTGTTTGAAATGTCGAATTTTGTGTCAACCAAGCAGTATTTGCGGGAGGTTTTGATTTTTTGCTTTAATCGGAAGAAAAGAAGCCCATCGAATGATTGTCGAAGTTTATGATGACACTGCTCCAACTGATAAATTATATAGGGAATGGTTTCGACGTTTCAGCGTTGAAGACAAGCCTCGCTCTGGACAGCCAAAAAAATTCGAAGACAAAGAATTAGAGGCATTATTCGAAGAAGATCAGAATCAAACGCAAGAGGAGCTTGCAGAATCATTGGGGGTAACTCAACAAGCCTTTTCTGTTTGATTGAGAGCTATGGGAATGATTGACTGATGAAAAACAAGGAAATTGGGTGCTTTATGAACTGAAACCGAGAGACGTTGAAAGGCGATTTTTCACTTGCAAACAGCTAATTCAAAGACACCAGAGAAAAGGTTTTTTACATTGGATTGTGTTTTGCATTGGACTGGAGATGAGAAGTGGATATTCTACAGCAATCCCAAGAAGAAAAAATACTACGCTAAGCCTGGTCAATCGTTGCCATCGACCTCAACATCAACATCACGGCCGAACATTCATAGTTCGAAGATTTTGTATCTGGTGGGATCAAAAGGGTCTTATTTACTATGAGCTGCTGAAAGCTGATTCCATTACGGGCAATCGGTATCGGCTACAATTGATTCGTTTGAGCCGTGCATTGCGAGAAAAACGGAATACGAGCAAAGACATGATAAAGTTATTCTTCTTCGTGACAACGCTTGATCTCATGTCGCTAAAGTCGTAAAAAAATATTTGGAAACGCTCAAATGGGATGTTTTACCGCACCTGACGTATTCTCCGGACATTGCTCCTTCTGATTACTAGTTGTTCCGAAGGATGCAGCAAGTCACCGGTTCACTTCTTTTGCAGAAATCGAAAATTGGCTCTAAAATTGGATCACCTTCAAAGACGAGTTATTTTTTCGAGATGGAATTCGAAAATTGCCTGAGAGATGGGAAAAAGTAGTAGGCAGTGATGGACAATACTTTAATTGATCTGTTCATTCATTTTGTTTTGAAATAAATGCACAAAAAACGAACCGAACTAATTAGTACTCCCAACATGTACACACACACACACACACACACACACACACACACACACACACACACGCATGCACACACACACACACACACACACACACACACACACACAAAGTGTCTGGAAATAATCGCCAAATATTTCATGGGCAGATAGAACGGACTAAACTGAATCGAAAAGTCCTCTATCATTTTGTAAATTTCCTCAATAGTTAATGAGATAATATTCTTCAATAGTTAATCTTTAAAGATAGCCGAATACACGCGCTCGCCCGGTCTATTACTGCGAAGTGTATATGCCTACTGATCGCTTGGCGCGGGCCTTGGGAGGTGGGGATTAGCTGGCAAGCGCCCCGCGCCGCGCACACTGCCGTAAGCCTCCATAGCTCTGACGGCGCGCTTGCCAGGCTATCTCCACGGCCCGCACACCAAGTGATCGATAGGCGTATACACTTCGCAGTAATATTATATTCGGCTATTTTTAAGGATTAATATCTTGTTAATTATTGGGGAAACTTACAAAATAGTAGAAGACTTTTAACTCAGTTCGCTTTAGTCCGCTCTACCTGCCCATGAAATATTTGGTGATTATTTCCAAACACCCTGTATATTAGGAAAATTAATTTTTAATATAATATACTGTTGTAAAAGGAGTAACATAAATGACGCAGACTTAACGTTCAATTAGCTCATATACTTTATTAGTTTTCTCTTGCTTGGAGAGACGCGCCGTTCTTCCCACGTTCTTCCTCAACCTTTGGGTTTTCTCGGTAACGCTCGGTTTTCCTCATGCGCTCATTTATCCGTTCCCCGACCATTCGCGCTCAAGATCACCATGTGGTGGCGATTTCGCCTTAATTTCGTAAAATTCAAACAATGAAGAAGATTTCGCGTTTTTCTCCTTCCTAAAATACGATTTATTTCTCGTTCTTTATTCACAATGCTCCCTGGCAAAATAATGCACATAATGATGAGTGGTAGTTATCATAGAAATATGCGATGCATACTGTCTTTCTACACCGAATAAACATTGGTGTCATCCCACAATCACTAACCGTACTTCCATTAAAACACGCGTCATTAACATTCAAAAAAGCGAAAATTACTCGTTTTTGAAATATTTATTGATTCCCCCAGGTTTAAAAGCGATCTGTCGTCGTGATCTAAAATCATAATTTTCTCGAAAAATACACAGAAATGCAATTTACTGCTTTACAGAGTTTATTGTTTGGTGTTTCAGAACAATCATGCAAAAGCTGATCAAAATCCGTGAAATACTTATGTGAGTCTCTCCTTGTAAGATAGATGCACATTTTAATTATTATTTCATCGCGCATCTCTTTTTAATAATATACATAAATGTAATAATTTTGCAGTTTATTTTTGTCTTTATTTAGTTTCTTACCTCTGCAGCAGCAATACCTAGAGCAACTCCACCCAGTACCGTAAGAGCAGATGTGAAGAAATCTTCTAATGCGTCTACGCAACCTATCCCGTAAGAAGCTATTGGATCACATATGTCAGAGTCCTTTTTACCGCAGCAGCTTCCTGGTATAGGAATTCCATTAAGTAAATTAGGAAAATCTTGAGGTTTGTCAATACCACAGCACTCCAACTGCAAATATAAATCAAAATAAGTACATCTCACGTTAAATATTGATTTGTTTAAAATTAAAAGCTTGGTGAAAAAAATTTCAATAGGGTTTTAATTAAATTTTAATGAAATTTTGAGTTTTATGTTCGTTTTGGATTTCATCAAAGTTTTATCAAATTATTCTAAAACTAACATAATATTCATTGCAATGTTATCAAAATTTCATCAATATGTCACAAAAATTTTAGGTTATTAAATTTTTGTACAGAGACTGTACTTTCAAAATGCATCTCTCATTTATATTCGTCTTTATACCTATAACACTGTGCGACAGCATTTTTCACACATGAAAAAATCAAATTGTCCGTAAAAGAGATCTAGTAGCATACGTTTCGTTTGGCGATATCAAATCATTTGCATTTTTTGTACGCGTTTGAAGTTTATAGGAGGTCATTTCGTCTGCGGTGCAAAATGAAAAGATTCCGCACTAATTCTATATAAAATTGAGTCTCGGTGAAATGATTTTTTTATATATTACAGCTTGTGATCTGCTAAACAAAACACTCACTCTCACTTAAAAAAAATCAGAATTGATAGCGGCTATACTACATATTTTGTAACAAAATATTGTTTTATACATGTGTACATATCTTGAACATTATATATGATAGTATGTATGATATATGTGGGATATAATTATATGTGACGCCATACATAATCATAAGGAACATAAAACGTTTCGAGACGGCAAAATATCTGAAAAATTATAAGTTTTATAAAATAATGTTTTAGATAAAAGTTAGTTTACCAGATGTACAAGTATGAAATGACGATTTGAGAAACAGATGGCGCACCAATGCAATGTGAAGTACAAAGATTTAACATTATACGCTATTTTATTGTACCATCAACAAGTATCAAACGCGCAAAGTGATTTGATTGAAAAGTGTTTGCATAGTATTGTGTTGCTGTGTTTAATATAACGAAATTTGTACCAAATAAGGAGCATTCGCGGATAGCATTAATTTTTTCATTAATGTTTTCATTTGAAGAAAACTGCTGCGGAATCATCGATTACTTGGAGAAGCTTATGATAAACATGCTCCATCGCAAAAAACGTGTGAACGATGGTTTTAGCGTATCAAAATTGGAGATTTCGATGTTGCAGACAAGGAACACAAAAAACTGCCCAAAAAGTACGAAGACATGGAATTGCAAGCATTGCTGGGTGAAGATGATTCACAAACACAAAAACAACTCGCAGAGCAATTAAGCGTTAGTCAACAAGCTGTTTTCAATCGCCTACGAGAGATGGGAAAGATTCAGAAAGTCGGCAGATGGATGCCACATGAATTGAACGAGAGACAGATGGAGAGGCGCAAAAACATATGTGAAATTTTGCTCGAACGATACAGAAGAAAGTCATTCTTGCATCGTATCGTTACTGGGGATGAAAAGTGGATTTTTTTTGAGAATCCCAAGCGCAAAAAATCATGGGTAGGCCCAGGCACACCATCCACATCGACCGCAAGACCGAATCGCTTTGGCAGGAAGATGCTCTGTGTTTGGTGGGACCAGAAGGGTGTGATCTATTATGAGCTATTGAAGCCTGGCGAAACGGTTAATACCAAATGCTATCAACAATAATTGATCGATTTGAACCGTTCGCTGCTTAAAAAAAACGATCAGAATACCAAAAGACACAAGGTCATTTTTCTCCATGACAATGCTCCATCACATACAGCAAAACCAGTTCAGGACACGTTGGAAGCACTCAGCTGAGAAGTTCTATCCCATGCGGCTTATTCACCAGACTACTCACCAGACAGGCTCCTTCCGATTACCACTTTGCATCGATGGGTCACGCACTTGCTGAGCAGCGCTTTGGTTCATACGAAGATGTGAAAAAATGGCTCGATGAATGGTTCGCGGCAAAAGGGGAAGATTTTTACTGGCGTGATATCCACAAGTTGCCCGAAAGATGGGAAAAATGTGTAACTAGCAATGGAGCATACTTTGAATAAAGCTCTTTTTATCATTCTTCCAAATTTAACGTGTTTTTTTTTGGGAAAAAATCGTCATTTCATACTTGTACATCTGATAAAAAGGCCTTCATTAGTTTGAATTTGGGTAGCGTCGCCAAAGAAGGGCATAAAGTCAACTCTGATTTTTTAAAGTGAGAATCGCCACTTTTTTTTTCATTTTCTTATAATCTTTATTGATCTTTTCAAAACGCTGTAAGTTTATCCATTTTAAGCCGTTTAGAAATTATTGAATATTTTATGGTGTCAGTATAGGTAAATCGAACATGAAAACTGTTCATTTTTTTGAAACTAAAACTAAAACTTATATGTTGTGTTTAGCAAATCACAAGCTATAACATTTGAGAAAACCATTTGATTTCACCGGAATTCAATTTCATACAGGATTAATGCGGGGTCCTTTTGCGATTATCTGAAAATTATGTACTTCCATGAAAAATTGATCTCTCAGTGAGAAAATGATCAAATTAAAACAATTAAAATAGAGCAAAATGGTGAAAAATGTATTTTTAGTCGAAAATTGTTCAAATTTTTCCTTCTTCAATCTTTGTATGATTTTTTTGTGAATATTAATGAGAAAACATATTTTAAAACTTTATTTAAAAGCAATAATTATTATTCGTTTTTCTAACAAAATAAAGAAAATTAAATTTGAAATTATTAAAGTTAAGTCAATAATTTTAAAGTTAAAAAATTTATTAATTAAATGTACAAAAAAAAAACAAATTATTTCATGTTTGCGAAAACAGCATTTGCTTCGGCATTTATGCTGATCTTGTTGTTTGTCGCGGCAAATCAACAAACAGTATTCGCTAATGTGGCGAGAGTCTTTTCCTTTGAAGCGTTGTAGCAATATTTTAATGGAAACGCTCGCTCTGCTCATCATTAAAATCATCCAGGTTGTGGGGAAAGAAATCCAAATAATTGTGCAAAAAGTATATTTTCAATATGTTGACTCTTTTTTTTACGAAATGCAGCAATCATTTCAGCTACAACTTCTTTACAATTTTTAATTCTGTCTGGCCTAAAAAATTGGTAATAATCGCGTCTACAGCCTTCCATGATTCATAAGCATTGTAAACCTGAGCCACGGTCTTAAAGCCATTACACGTTTTAGACCGTCAAAGTCTCGTTACAAATGCTTTGAAGCATTTGCTGGACTAATTATTATAGAAGAAAGAATTTTACAAACTGACCAATTAAAAAACGCTTAAAAGCGTTTGCAGCATCGCGTTGATATAATAAAAAGCGATAAATTGATTAACGAGGGAAGTGATAAATTACAAGATTCTTTTCCCATTGGTCATAATGATAAGGCGTTAATCGCAATCTTTCGACGGGATGAAAACTTACGACTATGATCACGGCTTTGTAGTTATGACCATAGTGGAAGGGATAATATGGTGTGCAATTTGCAAGCATTTTTCTCTGAATCTCTATCTATGAATGTTGATAAGAGATGAAGGCTGTCAACTGTGAAACACTAAACATTTTGTTTCAATACACTTGCTACAATAAAACTCAGTTTCACAAATAGTAAATAATCACTTATTTATAGTCAATAATTATTTATTTATTACAAATTAATAAATAATAAAACCCAAAAAAGTCAATACATTAAACGAGCTATAATTAGGTACTAAATAATATTTATTAATCACAAATTATAATTTTCCGACGATGAGTTTCAACGGTACATTTCGATTATATTAGGTGTACAACTTTGCTTCCGCCGTTTTCCTATAGATGACTTTAGCGGTAAGTGGTGGTCGAAATAAATAGATCATAGACGTCATACAATAAACTTGGGCATCTGTCAACATAACCCCATAGAAACATTAGTCGATTTGTGTCTGCATCATAAAGTTATTCTCGATTGAAAATGTTTACGAGCCAAATTCTCGTCATTTGCGGGAGGTTTTAATTTTTTGCTTCAATATGAAGAAATCTGAGGCTCATCGAATGCTCTCAAATACTTATGATGAGGCCGCTATTAGTGAAAGAACGTGTCGTGAGTGGTTTCAACGCTTCAAGAACGGTGATTTTGACGTCGAAGACCGGCATAGCGGTGGAAGAAAGAAGATTTTCGGAGATGCAGAATTGGAGGCATTATTTGAGCAAGACTCGTGTCAAAATCAAAAAGAATTGGCACGATCACTGGGAGTGACTCAACAAGCCATTTCAAAACGCCTCAAAGCCATGGGAATGATTCAGAAGCAAGGAAATTGGGTGCCGTACGAATTGAAGCCGAGAGATGTTGAACGGCGTTTGTTTGCTTGTGAACAGCTGCTTGAAAGGCAAAGACGGAAGGGATTTCTGCATCGCATTGTGACTGGGGACGAAAAATGGGTTCATTACGATAATCCCAAGCGCAGAAAATCATGGGGAGTTCCCGGCCATGCTTCCACGTCGACGGCCAAACCGAATATTCACGGCTCCAAGGTCATGCTCTGTATTTGATGGGACCAGCTCGGCGTAGTGTATTATGAACTGTTAAAACCGACTGAAACAATCACAGGCGATCGGTATCGAACGCAATTGATGCGTTTGAGCCGAGCATTGAAAGACAAACGGCCGCAATACAACGAGAGACACGATAAAGTGATTTTGCAGCATGACAATGCTCGACCCCATGTTGCGAAAGTGGTCAAGACATACTTGGAAACGTTGAAATGGGAAGTCCTACCCCACCCGCCGTATTCTCCAGACGTTGCTCCCTCTGACTATCACTTGTTTCGATCAATGGCGCACAGCCTAGTTGACCAGCACTTCCGGTCTTATGAAGAAGTAAAAAATTGGATCGATTCGTGGATAGCCTCAAAAGATGACCAGTTTTTTCGACGCGGGATTCGTACGCTACCCGAAAGATGGGAGAAAGTAGTGGCCAGCGATGGACAATACTTTGAATCATAAATGTATAACCAGTTTTTTACAATAAAGCCTCGAATTTCGGAAAAAAACGGCGGAAGCAAAGTTGTA